AGATCTAAATTTTTTAAACTTCTTTTGTTCTCAGCATAACCTCTATTAGTCTTTAAGTTATATTGATGTTTATACTTTTTTTTAATTGTGGAATAGGATTATTAAATCTGTAAATTGCAATTATGTTAACGTGTTGGAAAATAATCACGTTTGGTCGATAAAACAGACGATTTTAGGATCGCTTTAAAGAGTTATGGAATAACATTCCGCTATGTAAACTCACCAATCATCACTCGCGCCGGCACGGCATTCCATTCGAGCCAAAATGTGATGAAAGAACTGGTTACTAAAATAATGCCCGGGATGAAAACCGTAGTGAAATAGAAGGAACGATCTCGTGTGAAGATCAAATCCACCTTCAAGCAGCTGTAATTACCTGAGTCAAGCATACGTAACTTCATTTTTCGTGCTAGAGCAAAAAATCAATGGATTTGTACTATCGGGGAGTAAAAAGAAAGTACTTTAATAGTACTTTGATATTGGTGAATATCGATCGAATAAAGATAAACCATTAATGGTTATTAAAATATTAAAATATTTATTTTTTATTTATTATTAATCAATAATTAGTTTACAATTAATGAAAAATATTTGTACTTAAAATGTTTATAAAAAATTTGTTTTTTTATAACAAGATACATATTAAGAAAATTAAAAATGTGATGTAATGCTTAATTTTTTATGTTAGGAGTGACGTAGCTTGTTCATCTTTCATATTCGGAAAAAAAGATAAAAATATCACATACAGTCATCTTGTCAATAAGTGACTATTAAACATCCCATTCGCGAAAGCAGTTGAAATATTTCAACAAAGTGCTAATATATGGGCATAAAAAATGGACTTATTAGAAGGTTCGCAGGCATAAAAAAACATCTACCATCAAGGATATATTAAACTAAATCTTTTCTTACAAATAACTCAACATTCAATATAATTTTTCATGTACTTCTTGAACGTTGAAACAAAGGATATAAACATTTATTCAATCATTATATGATACAATTACATGATTCATGCCGGTGGATCATGACATTCAATCATTAACGTTTGATTTGAAGTTCCTGTCTCGTTAGGATTTCTCTTGGAGATTGATTTTAAATATTCTTTATTTTATTATATCTTTAGTAGCAGATAAATACAAAATTAAGTGTAAAAATGTAGTGCAAATAAAACTATAAACAAAAAGTGAAGCTTATATATTAGAATATTAGATCATAAAAGAAATAATAATATAAATTCGCTGGTAAAATTCAGTTAGAGATTATGTCAATTTTACCATTTTATTATATTCTTCACCTGTTCAATTGCGCTTCGTATAAACAACTACTCATAAATATGTGCTCATTAATAGAATTTTTATAAATTTTTTTTTTATAATTCTTCCACAATTATAATTTAAAACATTTTAAATATATTGATGTCATTAGTTATATCTATCAGTTTTAATTTTTATATATAAAGGAAAAGTTATTTAAACATTTTTTAAATAAAAAAGTGGTATCACATTTTTGAAGAATACGAAACAAATGAACAAATATTTATGAGTGCTAATGTAACAACAATTCTATAATACTACGATATAAGCTTATATAATAAATAAGCATCGCTATATAAATAATACAAACATAAAGTAAATAAAACTGTATTTCGTGAAATAAAAATATATTTTACAGTAAAAATCTCCCTGCATTATTCTTTTAATCGTTAATGCAATTAAATTCAATACGTATGGAGAAAATACATTATTGCTTTGGCATTTGCAACGCTCTAATTACTAAATTTGGCAACGCTCAATCTTATTCTCCAATTAACAATAAGTGGCAATTTTATCGCAATATTGCACAAATCAATATATCATATACGAAGCAAAACATCGAATATCTACTTGGGATATCTTGGCATTTTGAATTTTGGTAAGCTTGGTCCTGTCTCTCTCTCCCTCATTTATTGATCCCCTTCAAATCGCTTTACGTGTCACTCATATCGATGAAATAGATATGAGAGAGATAGATTTTACCTTGCTCTTCAAATCTGCGCTGGCACAGCGAACACTTAGAGTCTCCAAAATCATCGAACTCGTCCTCGTCAACCATGATCTGTCCGTCAGCTGCAACAAAACAGCCCACGATCTTTCCTTCCTATTTTTTTCTCTGTTCTTTCTTTCCGTATTTTTCCAGCTTCTGTGTGACGAAAGGAGAAACAAATCTTCACAGAGCTGGGAGATAAGCTCTAAGAGCATAAGGGAAGCTTGATCTACTCATTAAAACTTATGTTTTTTCTCATTATATACTATAAATTTTAAAAATCATTTTTAAACTATTTGTTTCATTTTTTCATTCTATAAATTAGCAATAATTTTTTATCACATAATAAATGATACATATGATAAATTACTATAATAAATATAGCAGTGATGTTGAAGGAATGATATAGTCCAAATTAAGATCAGAATAGAAGTAATAATCTCAAATAACATAAAATTGATCAAAAAGAGAATTAATTGAAAATTTAGATTATTCTATGTGTTAAATGTTAAAAACCTATCCATATCGCATTTATATTTATATTTATATTCACAATATTTTATCATAACATAATTTAAGTTGTGTTTTTGTATATTCAACTCTTTTATTGATATATATAATGGATCAAAAAAAGTTTTATTCCTTTATCATTTACTTATCGGTTAATAAAATTTCATTAGTTTATTTCAAAATTAATATATTAAATTTTTTATTTTTTAAAGGAAATGATTTTATAAAGATTACGGTTAATATCTAAACGGCACAAGTAATCATTATAAAATATAAAAGAATTTCTTTCTAATAATATAAAAAGAATTTTATAGAAATAATATCCTTTGATTTCTATGGCGATAAATCGAAGTTTTTTTTTTTGAAAGAAGTCCTTTTTTTTGTAATAGAGTCCAAACAGAATTGCTCATAAATTAAACAATACATGGTTGCCGACAAATAGATGCGACGGAGTTTTATTTTTTTAAAGAAGTATACAAGATAGAATAAAATACACAGCATTATGAGAATGTTTATTCGCGTATTGAAATTTTGATGAAATAATGAAAGTGAGTCTCTAAAAAGGGGCGATCTAAAGATTCTAAAATGAAAGTAAATAAAGTGTGAAGTCTGTATGTCTGAGTAAATCGTCATGATTAAATTATAATGCAGAAAAGTTTTGAATTAAGTTTTTGATAATTACTGATAATCTGTCTACATTTTTTTAATTCCACTGAGAAAATTTTAAATTTACTTGAATGCGTAGGGGAGACCGGGGCTGATTACAGTTGATACAGTTTTTTTTCATGATTTTTTGTGACATGTAACTAATAAATGAAATAAATACCGCAAAGATATTCTTCAATAGTCACATGCTTTAACAACATAGAAATTATTTTTATAATTTAACAATATAATTAATTTTGTTGTATTAATGAAAAATGTAAAGTAATGCAACTTGTAACAATCGGCCTCATATGCGGGGTCAATTGTTACAA